GCTTCCACTGCCAGGCTGTTACCTGGTTGATACCTGGTTGATGGGGTTCTGGGAGTTGTTCTACTCCCCAAGCCCGGCCTTGATACCTGGTTGATGGGGTTCTGGGAGTTCTTCTACTCCCCAAGAACGGCCTTGATACATGGTTGATGGGGTTCTGGGAGTTCTTCTACTCCCCAAGCCCGGCCTTGATACCTGGTTGATGGGGTTCTGGGAGTTCTTCTACTCCCCAAGCCCGGCCTTGATACCTGGTTGATGGGGTTCTGGGAGTTCTTCTACTCCCCAAGCCCGGCCTTGATACCTGGTTGATGGGGTTCTGGGAGTTCTTCTACTCCCCAAGCCCGGCCTTGATACCTGGTTGATGGGGTTCTGGGAGTTCTTCTACTCCCCAAGCCCGGCCTTGATACCTGGTTGATGGGGTTCTGGGAGTTCTTCTACTCCCCAAGCCCGGCCTTGATACCTGGTTGATGGGGTTCTGGGAGTTCTTCTACTCCCCAAGCCCGGCCTTGATACCTGGTTGATGGGGTTCTGGGAGTTCTTCTACTTCCCAAGCCCGGCCTTGATACCTGGTTGATGGGGTTCTGGGAGTTCTTCTACTCCCCAAGCCCGGCCTTGATACCTGGTTGATGGGGTTCTGGGAGTTCTTCTACTCCCCAAGCCCGGCCTTGATACCTGGTTGATGGGGTTCTGGGAGTTCTTCTACTTCCCAAGCCCGGCCTTGATACCTGGTTGATGGGGTTCTGGGAGTTCTTCTACTCCCCAAGCCCGGCCTGAGGCCTGGCTTGACTTGTGAGAGTTTGGTCCACCAGGCTGTTGCTTGGAGCGGCCCGCAGGCCTGTGTGAGATATCTGCTCCTAAAACTTTCAGTCCCTGTAATTTCAGAAGAATTTCCTTTCCCACGTGATGCCTTATATCCAGCTTCCTGTTCCCAGTACCTAACGTGATTGCCCTTGCTTGGATTTAACTCTGCTAGCCATCTGGATCAAACTTCTGACAAGGCTATGCTGTCGCTAAGTCTTCTAGTAATAGACGTCAACATTTGTCCGCACTGTGAAGGAAAATTTTTCCCATCTAGAAGTCCTTGACGTAGATCACAGTAGGATTACCTCCAGCCCTGAACGCTGAGGGATGACTCTGTTGACATTATCCTGCATGTCTGTGGTCTCTGCCTTCACTGTGACATCACCCTGCATGTCTGTGGTCTCTGCCTTCACTGTGACATCACCCTGTATGTCTGTGGTCTCTGCCTTCACTGTGACATCACCCTGCATGTCTGTGGTCTCTGCCTTCACTGTGACATCACCCTGCATGTCTGTGGTCTCTGCCTTCACTGTGACATCACCATCTTTTGTTGGACGTGTAACAACACATTTGTACACTGGAGCCTCGCCTCACATCCAGTCCATTTGGACTGGACGGTAGAGCGACGGTCTCGCTTCATGCAGGTCGGCGTTCAATCCCCCGACCGTCCACAAGTGGTTGGGCACCATTTCTTTCCCCCCGTCCCATCCCAAATCCTTATCCTGACTCCTTTCCCAGTGCTATATAGTCGTAATGGCTTGGCGCTTTCCCCCTGATAATTCCCCCCCCCCCCTCCCTCCCTCCTTCCAGTTTCCGTACTGTTTGCTTCACCGTTATTTAGGGTACTGTGTCCAAGTTCTTCACAGTCCAAAAGCGTAATCCATCCGCTCTTCTCTGTCTCCTAAAGATACAGTTCCTTCACCTATCCTTTATCCCCACCACTTATTGGACACTTCAGGATTTGTTTAATGATCGGCTGTGGCTGACTCCTCAGGTGTTCAGTGTGGAGAAGCAACAGGTGTGTGAGTGACAGGTGTTCAGCGCACAGCCACCGCTCACTAGGGGGGGGGGGAGTCTTGAGCATCATCTCTCTACCCTTGGACACGATTTTATTTGGTTGACTGTTACTCTTTGTGTTCTGTTTGACAAAAAATAAATACACACCGTCCTACTTTACCAGTTATTCCCATTGACTTCATTTTGTGTGCTATCACTCCATGGTCACATTTATCGAATGCCTTTGCGAAGTCTGTGAATACAATATCTGTTTTTCTTCTAATGCCTCAGTGATTTTGTCGTAGTCGTCAAGTAGCTGTGAAAGACATGATTTTCCCGCTCTAAATCCATGTTGGCCTGGATTGTGGAGGTCATTGGTCTCCATGAAACTAGTGACCTGACTCCTGATCACTCTCTCAAATATTTTTATTATGTGGGGTGTTAGTGCAACTAGTCTATAATTCTTTGCCAATGCTTTGCTCCCTCCCTTGTGTAGAGGGGCAAAGTCTGCTGCTTTAAGTGCATCTGGTATCTCCCCCGTGTCAAGCTCTTCCTCCACACTATACTGAGTGCCTGTGCTACTGGCACTTTGCATTTCTTTATAAATATTGAATTCCATGAGTCTAGACCCGGGGCTGAGTGCAGGGCCATGTTGTCATGAGTCTAGACCCGGGGCTGAGTGCAGGGCCATGTTGTCAATTTATCTTACAAAATCTGCCACGCTCGTGTTGATATCAGTTATATTTACAGGTGTTTGGATATCACGCATAAAGAAGTTGTCCGGATCTTCTACTTTCATGTTGTTTATTGGGGTGCTAAATATGTCTTCATACTGTTTTTTTTTTTAGGATGTCACTGATTTCTTTGTCATCCTCCGTGTATGAACCTTCACTTGTAAGAATAGGTCCAATACTGGCAGTGGTTTTCGCTTTTGATTTCGCTTATGTGAAAAATAATTTATTATTTATTTATCTCTATATGGCTTTCTTTTCCAATTGCATATCTCCAATCTGATACGAATGCTTCAGTCTGCTCGATTTCCTCAATCTCCCTGTTTAAATGTCCCGCGCGGCCCGGTCTCTGCCAGGCCGCCTGGTTGATAGTCTGGTCAACCAGGCTGTTGGACGCGGCTGCCCGCACCCTGACGTGTGAATCACAGCCTGGATGCATGTGAAGCACACACACACACACACACACACACACACACGCGCACACACACACACACACACACACACACACACACACACACACACACACACACACACACACACACGCGCACACACACACACACACACACACACACACACACACACACACACGTAACAAATAATACCATCACCACCCAAGCCACAAATCTGAAAAAAAGGGGATTTGACGACATTTCAGTCCGTCCTGGACCACTATCCGTCCTGGACCACTATCCGTCCTGGACCACTATCCGTCCTGGACCACTATCCGTCCTGGACCACTATCCGTCCTGGACCACTATCCGTCCTGGACCACTATCCGTCCTGGACCACTATCCGTCCTGGACCACTATCCGTCCTGGACCACTATCCGTCCCGGACCACTATCCGTCCCGGACCACTATCCGTCCTGGACCACTATCCGTCCTGGACCACTATCCGTCCTGGATCACAATCCGTCCTGGATCACAATCCGTCCTGGATCACAATCCGCCCTGGATCACAATCCGTCCTGGATCACTATCCGTCCTGGATCACTATCCATCCTGGATCACTATCCGTCCTGGACCACTATCCGTCCTGGACCACTATCCATCCTGGATCACTATCCAGTCGTAATTACACTTGATCATGGTCGTCGTCACCTTTATTTTCAGATTTGTGGGTTGGGCGTCTTATTTGCAGAGTCGTTATTGTGTACGACTCCCCCGGAAGTCGTACTCACTGTCTTGAGTACACCAGGTCGTTCCTCCGTGTGGTGGTCGTTCCCTCCTAGGTCGTACCCACTGTCGTGCCCCTCACGTGGTGGTCGTACCCACTAGGTCGTACCCCCTCCCTCCCTTCCTGTCGGAAGAAAGCCCTTTACAGTCAATAAGTTTTTTTTTCCTTTTTTTGCTCCAAAGCTGTCGCCAGCACACAGTTGAGGGACACAGGGACGGAGGGAGGTAGGTAGGTATGGACACAGAGAGGGACGGAGGGAGGGACACAGGGAGGGAGGGAGGGAGGGACACAGGGAGGGGAGGTAGGGACACAGGGAGGGGAGGTAGGGACACAGGGAGGGGAGGTAGGGACACAGGGAGGGAGGTAGGGACACAGGGAGGGACGGAGGGAGGGACACAGGGAGGGAGGGAGGGAGGGAGGGACACAGGGAGGGAGGTAGGGACACAGGGAGGGAGGGAACAATGATACATGAACACAGCCACTTCCCTAACAGTGCCAGATCCATATCCGGCCACGAGGGGCCATTACATTAGCCAGATAATAACGCCCAGCTGCCAGAGTTCCCACTGTATTGACTTTCCTTCAACTTGCAATTGCCACGAAACCCCGCCGCTGCTGCCCCCTTCACGAGTACTCAATACTCGCGACCACCTCCCAATACTCGCATTGTTCCCTCACACGCTGAGACCACAGGCCCGCCATGCTGGGCACGCCATGCTGGGCACGCCATGCTGGGCCCGCCATGCTGGGCCCGCCATGCTGGGCACGCCATGCTGGGCACGCCATGCTGGGCACGCCATGCTGGGCACGCCATGCTGGGCCCGCCATGCTGGGCACGCCATGCTGGGCCCGCCATGCTGGGCACGCCATGCTGGGCACGCCATGCTGGGCACGCCATGCTGGGCACGCCATGCTGGGCACGCCATGCTGGGCCCGCCATGCTGGGCACGCCATGCTGGGCCCGCCATGCTGGGCACGCCATGCTGGGCACGCCATGCTGGGCACGCCATGCTGGGCACGCCATGCTGGGCCCGCCATGCTGGGCACGCCATGCTGGGCCCGCCATGCTGGGCCCGCCATGCTGGGCCCGCCAGGGGGCCTACACCGTGAATTAATGCGCTCACAAAGGCATCCCAAGTCGTATTTTGAGCCTATTTGAATGTCACTTTACGCATATCCATTTACAAAATGCCTCGAAGAGGCATGTAGTTAGTTCCGAGTAATTCTGACCCCTATTTCAAAAGACATTGCAAATGGCCTTATACCGGAAGAAGTATGTCTATTCATGATTTTCAGGACTACGACAAAGGTAGACATTGAGGAGACACCAGCGGCTCCAGTAACATACTCAGCCAACATACCGACATAAGGTTATTGAACAACGAGCAATAGTGCTTTGTTCTGCTCGACCCCTCCTCCCCACCAACCACCCCCCCCACGAACGCCGCTCTATAGCGTGCAAGCGAGCCAATCAGAACAAGTTACAGTACGCTACATCCTGATTTCTCAGAGTTACGAAATCACCAATACCTTGGAAAAGTTATTTTTCAGTCAGTGATCAAATATATCGGTGAATCTGAGGTGGAAAAGTTGATGAGGAGAAGAGAGTGAGTTGAGCAGCAAGGAGGCACAAGACCCGAGTGTATGAGGTAATAGGGAGTGTGAGGGTGTGTGGGTGTGTGTGTGTGAGTGTGTGGAGCAGAGAGGGAGAGAACGGCGTGCGTGTGAGAGAGAGAGTAAGGAAACAAGAAGGAGGCACCAAGAGGGCAAGAAAAGCCTCTCAAGGTAACGAGTGTTGCCACAGACGAGCAGAAGATAGTGTGAAGAGCCTCACATCCGTCACACCCACCATGAATCCTGCCAACATCCAGCCCACATTCATGGGCTTCTACAACAGCGTGGCGACTTGCTTCAGGAAGTACACAGGTACAGTACCAGCTACAGTACACAGGTACAATACCAGCTACAGTACACAGGTACAGTACCGTAGCCAGCTACACCCACCCTTAACACAAGTCCCTTTTAACACAAGTCCCTTTTAACACACAGTCACTTTTAACGCACAGTCACTTTTAACACAAGTCCCTTTTAACACAAGTCCCTTTTAACACACAGTCACTTTTAACACACAGTCACTTTTAACACACAGTCACTTTTAACACACAGTCACTTTTAACACACAGTCACTTTTAACACACAGTCACTTTTAACACACAGTCACTTTTAACACACAGTCACTTTTAACACACAGTCACTTTTAACACACAGTCACTTTTAACACACAGTCACTTTTAACACACAGTCACTTTTAACACACAGTCACTTTTAACACACAGTCACTTTTAACACACAGTCACTTTTAACACACAGTCACTTTTAACACACAGTCAGTCAGCTACACCCACCCTCCTTAACACACACTTTAATACACTGCTCACACTCTCAATCCTTGCACGCCTCACACTTACAAATTATTAACTTAACACCAACATCTTCAGCTACATCTAATAAAATGATGCAACAATTTCTTCAACATTCATTGAGCATGAGATCCAGATCTTCATATATTTAACAATAAAAATATTTTTATCATTGAATTAAAATGTCTTTAGCGATCTCTTCCCTTAAATGTCAGAGTCAAATCCTCAATAGATAAAATACTCTGCTGTATTTTATGGAATACAACTGTTGTTGTATTCTAGACCAACGTGAAGACCACCACCTGCTCAGGTAACGTCTACCAACGGAAGCTGCTAACGAGGAGAAATACGGCTATATGCATGTCTAACCAGTTACAATAATTGGAAAAATGACTTCACATGTCAGTGGGGGTAAAACACGATAGATCCACTGATAGACGGGAGTAAGAGACGATAGATCCACTGATAGACGGGAGTAAGAGACGATAGATCCACTGATAGACGGGAGTAAGAGACGATAGATGCACTGATAGACGGGAGTAAGAGACGATAGATGCACTGATAGACGGGAGTAAGAGACGATAGATCCACTGATAGACGGGAGTAAGAGACGATAGATGTACTGATAGACGGGGGTAAAAGACGATAGATGCACTGATAGACGGGAGTAAGTGACGATAGATGCACTGATAGACGGGAGTAAGAGACGATAGATGCACTGATAGACGGGAGTAAGTGACGATAGATGCACTGATAGACGGGAGTAAGAGACGATAGACACACAGTCAGGTCACAATCGCTGGCAATATCATATCATGTACAAAGAATATTTTACCATTTCGCCGCGAATTTTCTTGCTGATATTACGTTATATATTTTGATGACTTTTCCCATGTTCTTTGTTTTAAAAATATTTGCTTTATGCAGTAACTACAACAAACTTACATTTCTTGTATCATTTTACACAACAGCAGAAGGCGAGGTTTAAGAGCTGAATCACCATTCTCGCAAACCACAAATGGCTAAGCGCCCAGACGCCGGTGTATGGGAAGCGATACCCCATACACCATCCCATACACCGTCCCATACACCGTCCCATACACCATCCCATACACCATCCCAACATTACAAGTGTGGGGAAGGGCATACAGGAACAGATCGTTCATGCAAATTCAGTAATATCAGTAAATAGATGGGAACCGGTCGGCCGAGCGGACAGCACGCTGGACTTGTGATCCTGTGGTCCTGGGTTCGATCCCGGGCGCCGGCAAGACACAATGGGCAGTGTTTCTTTCACCCTATGCCCCTGTTACCTAGCAGTAAAATAGGTACCTGGGTGTTAGTCAGCTGTCACGGGCTGCTTCCTGGGGGTGGAGGCCTGGTTGAGGACCGGGCCGCGGGGACACTAAAGCCCCGAAATCATCTCAAGATAACCTCAAGATAACTATATCCTCCAACGGAAAGCCTCCGTGACACATCAGGATGGAAGCCACTGCATTAACTCAACAGGAAGAACCTCTTCAGTGTTAGAGATGTCAATAAATGAAATAGGTTAGATGCAGGACGAGTTCAACATAATTCGATTCAAAATTGTGTATGTAAATATGATAAGAGCGTGAGAAATGAGTCATTACATTAATCTAAGACCGTTCGGATGGCGGGGCCAGGAGCCTAACTCAACCCTGCAAGCACAGCTAGGTGAGAATACAAAACACACACACACACACACACACACACACACACACACACACACACACACACACACACACACACACACACACACACACACACAAAGATGTTTCCCGCCTCTCCGTTCATTCTCCCACGGAATCTAAAAGCATTCCAGCTTTGGTTTGGAATTCCTCACAACATTCTTGGCGGATTTCCGGTGGAGTCTTCATGCTTGCCACCTGCCAACACCAGAGGAGTAGGGCCGGGATCTGCCAATATGATGTCCACACGAGTCTTCCTTGTCCTCAAGAAGGACCGGGCCCGTTCTACGTGTTAGTTAATAACCCTATAGCATCTCTGGGGCCAGATTCACGAAGCAGTTACGCAAGCACTTACGAACGTGTACATCTTTTCTCAATCTTTGGCGGCTTTGTTTCCATTTATTAAACAGTTAATGAGCTCCGACGCACCAGGAGGCTGTTTATAACAACAACAACAGTTGAATGGGAAGTTTTCATGCTTGTAAACTGCGTAATAAAAGTAACCAAAGCCGTCAAAGATTGAGGAAAGATGTACACGTTCGTAAGTGCATGCGTAAGTGCTTTCGTGAATCTGGCCCCAGAACCCATACCACCTTAGAATAGTAGTAATCGATATTATTAATCCTGAGGTCTTTTACATTTTGGTCACAGTTCTATGGTATGGGACGAATTTGCAAATTATATAAGAAAATAGTCAGAGGATCTAATTTCTAGCGGACATAGAAAACCAATTATAAAGAAAATCATTTATGAATGTGGGACTGAATAATACCCCCCCCCCCCCCTGACCTTTGACGGTCCGCTCTCAGTCTCTCAAACTTTATCCATTATTATTATTATTATTATTATCTATTTACATTCTTCCATCTATTATACATCTCCACTACACTGTTTGCCTTTAATTTTCCCTCTTTCCTTCCAAACTACAACAACAACTGCATTTTCTACTCCCCAAACTATATTTGTTGATGTCATCTATGCTATGATACCCCCTGTTACCTAGCAGTAAAATAGGTACCTGGGTGTTAGTCAGCTGTCACGGGCTGCTTCCTGGGGGTGGAGGTCTGGTCGAGGACCGGGCCGCGGAGACACTAAATGCCCCGAAATCATCTCAAGAAGATGCTTTCTCTTGCTCGGGGATGGCTCCGCACACCCCCTCTGCCTCCTCGTCCCCTTTAACATTGTATCATCATAAAGACGACATCAGTGTTGACTGTTAGCCTTAACCTGCTCCCCCCTCAGTCAACCTTGTTGTTCAATATCCTCTACCATCTCCCTCACTCTTGCTGCGAGTTGCATCGTTATATCTCCCTCCCTCTCTTGATTGTCTGATATCTGCAGCCCTGTGACCACTCTCCCCGTTTCCTGGCTGCCAGCTACATCACTCCCCATGTCCTGGCTGTCAGCCACATCACTCCCCATGTCCTAGCTGTCAGCCACACCACTCCACATGTCCTAGCTGTCAGCCACATCACTCCCCATGTCCTAGCTGTCAGCCACACCACTCCCCATGTCCTAGCTGTCAGCCACACCACTCCCCATGTCCTAGCTGTCAGCCACATCACTCCCCATGTCCTGGTTGCCAGCCACACCACTCCCCATGTCCTAGCTGTCAGCCACACCACTCCCCATGTCCTAGCTGTCAGCCACACCACTCCCCATGCCCTAGCTGTCAGCCCTTCCTTCATATCAGTCCAGCGGGTAGTTCTCCTGGCCCAAGTTGGCACCAGTGCCCCGAGGTGCCAGCAGTAACTGCTGTGCCTGTCACCCACAGTTCTCAACTTGGCACCAAAGTGACGTGCCAGCAGGAGTCTCCAGAGGCCCAACTCTCTCTCTCTCCCAAAGTCAAAATCCACATGGTGGGAGCGGCACATCTCAACTCTGTTTACCTCAAGTCCTGTAGTTTACCTGTAGCTGGTTTCGAGGTTTCTTTACTACCCAAGCACGGCCCGTGGATAGGCTTCTTTGGAAGTAACTTGATCATGCGGGTTATTGCTTGCAGCGACTGACCAATTACAACGGCTATTACCAGACCATTATAACCCAGCACTTCATGCAGGAATTTATCTAACGGGATTTCGAGTGTCTTAAAAATTATATGATTCGTCTCCTGATCTCTTTTCAGAGAGTGTTTTGAGACCGTTCCAGTAATGTAAGCATTTTACTGAGTCTGTGTTTGTGCTGTACCTATTCTCTGTATTCCCTCTATTTCATAAATTTCTCCTGACTTGAAAGAGGAAGCGTTGTTTTTGTTTTAGATTCAGCTGCTCGCAACACAAAGTTCCAAGTAGCACGGGCTATGGTGAGCCCGTAGTGGACTTAATCTAAGAATGTTCGGAAGCAGGGCTCGCTCCACCTCTGGCACAGGAGCGGGGCTGTGACTTGGAGAGAGAGCTGGAAAGGACCTCATATTAATAGGAGCACCAAGGTGGCATCCCTCAATTCTCATAATTCTCATGAGGGTCCTCATAATCCACCCTATGGCCTTCTTGGCTGATGTTACATTTGCTCTGTTATGCTCACTAAGTGAGGTCGTTCGACATCATTTCCAAATCCAACATATGTCGTTTCCGTTGTAAGAGATCCGTTTCCGTTTTGCAGTGTTCAGCAAGTTTATGTTCGTTCATTTTTTTCCAAATTTAAGTGACTGATTGACCAGACAACACACTAGAAGGTGAAGGGACGACGACGTTTCGGTCCGTCCTGGACCATTCTCAAGTCGACAATGGACTTGAGAATGGTCCAGGACGGACCGAAACGTCGTCGTCCCTTCACCTTCTAGTGTGTGGTCTGG